TCTTAACTTTACTCAAAAGGGGAGAGCTCTTCTTTATTTTCTCATTTATTTTATTATCAACAATTATTTACTGGGCTCTATATCAGTTAGTGTTCCACATCTTAGAAGGCAGCTATGAACCTCTCTGTCCATTTGAGAAACCTCACACCCTTCTCATAGAAATCAGAAGGCCCTCAGGACATACTTCCATTTCATAGCAGTAAATTTAATAAATAGTTACCTAGTGTAAAGACCATCTGGTCTGAAGACTTCCCAGCGGGCAGTTCTTGATGGTTGTTAGGACTCCATGTCTTCAAGGACAACTCACAGTTGTGTGTGAGCACTTCAAAACATCCACGCAGGCATGCAGTGTAGCAGTTGGTGTGACTTTTAGGCATGTATGTTATAGTCTTCTGAGGGTCTAGGGAGTACTCTTGGAGCACACACACACAGACACACACATACACATACACGCACCTTTTCAAAAAACAAACATTAATTCTCAGAGATATTGTAGCCTACTGAGGAAGGGAAGCATGTTTTTAACTGTCCCTTCCTTCTCTTATTTGCAAGTTGTTTCTTTCATAATGGAGATTGACCTTCAAGCTTATTCTGGCGGGGTGAGGAAAGTGTTCAATTGTTGAGACATATTTCTTAAGGACACTTAGCTAAGGAAATATATAGTCAAATCTCTCAAGATTTCGTTTGAAAAATCCTTTCAAATTCTTAGACAAGGACTATCCTCAAGTTACCAATCTGAGGATGGTTGTGTACATGAGGAGGTGGGGGAGACTTTCTCAGTTACATGTATGTGGTGAAGAGGGAAGGACTTGACTAGGCCCTTAACTATACTCTACTGGATGTGGCAGGATGTGGCAGGGAGCGGGCGATGTTTTAGGAAGGAGAGTGTTGAGAAGGTAGACAGGCAAAGTAGAGGCAGGCAACTGCGTTTTTTTTCTGTGAGAAGAAAATGTTCTTTTTTTTCTTAACTCTTTATTGGAGTATAATTGCTTTACAATGGTGTGTTAGTTGCTGCTGTAATAACACAGTGAACCAGCTATGCATATACATATATCCCCATATCCCCTCCCTCTGCGTCTCCCTCCCACCCTCCTTATCCCATCCAAAGCACCGAGCTGATAACCCTGTCCCATGCGGCTGCTTCCCACTAGCTGAATTACATTAGTTTTGGGGTACAGTAAGGCAGTTTTAATAAGCTCACCTAGAGAGATCGGCTGGGCTTTCTTTCCGCCAGGCAGCATAGCTGCAAGAGCGCCACTCCCGTGGCAGTTATGTGGAGCGCACCCCTTGGAGCGCAGTGCCATTTACACGGATTACAATGGGAAGGAGGCCCCCTAGCGTTGTGTAGCAAAGCTGGTTGTGGCAGCCTTTGGAGTAGTAAGAATTTTAATTTTCATGTAAGTTATTTGTAATTGTATTTTCTTTGGAGAGTTGTCGAAAATCAGTGGTCTCCTTCAGCTGATATTAAGTCAAATATCTGTTCTCAAGGTCTTCATAGTACTGGTTGCACTGCTATCAGAAGTTGATTGACTTGTCAGTTTCCCCACTACCTGGAACTCCAGATCGCTTTAATCCCTTTACCAATAGTTCCAGGCACACTGTCTGGCACAAAGGAAGGGTTTGCTAAATGTTTCTGAATTAAAAGTAACTATTCTCTATGACATACACCCAATTACCCTGCATTTTTTTCTTCTTAATTTTAATTTGTTGTCAATTTAGTTCACAGAGGATGCACTGTGTTTCTATTTATTAAATTAAATATCTCCTAGGGTAGCATATTAAAAATTAAGCTTAGTTAAATCTCGGTGTCCTGTGATCATTATATAAGCTGCTCATTGCTGCATCTCATATTAGCTTGGTTCAATGGTTAGATGGTAATTGACATGAATACTTAATGAGCCCTTTTCCATTCTGATATATTGCTAGTGATACTTACAGTTTAAAGTGCATTAGGGTTAATTATAAACGCTCATAATTTGCCCACCCTTCTGACTGACAGTATATTCTTACACCTCAGAATATGATGAGCACTCCAGACCTGTATAGGAAGAATACTGGTCTTCAGAGGCTCAGCAATCACTATTATTAACCCTTCAGTTATCTCAAATCTATAACCTAAACTATTTCTGGAATTTCTACTTTGTCATCCATGTTGCCAAAAAGATCAGTGTGAAGTGTAACCTAAAGTCTGAGTGTTTTGTGGTAATAGAGAAGAAGATATTATCTTTAGCAACTGTCACAGTCTCTTACCCACAGAAATTTACAGGATGGTGCAGTGGAGCTCTCCTTTCTTCCCTGTCTCCCTCTCTTTCAACTCACCTACACCTGTGCTGCTTCCTTGGAGGCCACTGAAACATTGGTTTCTTTCAGATATGATTCTTCGACTCAAAAGCAGCTAGTAAAGTGGGTGGATGCATATTATACTGAGCACATCATTAGACAAAGCTTTTCTCTTATAAGATGATGTGAATGTCCAGATGTAGTAATGTAAACATCAGAGGCCTTTATTATAATCTCACACATTCTTCATTCATATGATAAAAGGTGAAGTGATGCTGTCTAGTTAGATTGCTCTGGTCATTTCACACATTTAACTCTCTTTGTGAATATTCCTATGAATATGTTCAAGTTCACAGAGAAGCTTTCCAGTCTTCCAGGCCATAACCATGTATCACGTTTCTTTTCTGTTTTCCCACAACAGACAGGACAGTGTCCATGGTAAATATTCGATGATGATTATTAACACATTATTTAGGGAAAAAGAGTATGTTGAATTATTTAACCTACTTAATCATCCTAGAATTAAGATAATGTCTGTTACATGCAAAAAAAAAAAAAAAAACTCAAACGCAGCTGACGTTTTATTACACTACACCAGCCGGTGTAGTCCAAAGTTTAATAGCCCTGTCGTGATGACTTGTTCAACAAAACAGTTCAGAAAGATGGTTTGCACAAGCAAACTTCAGGGGAGACGTCTAAGATCAAAAGGGGCAGGCAGTCGCCTTGAAGCTGAGCATATAAGTTCACAAATTCAAAAATTAGGGAGTCAGGAAGATCCTAGTTATGCTTGGATTTTAAAATTCTCGAGAATATTGCACTGAATCTGACTCAAATCAAAAATGAAAGTAATCTTCCTCTTATGGCTTTTCCATGCCTACTTCAGTACCTACAGTATAGTAGAGGCTCAAGAAATACTTAAGGATTAATGTTGACTGAATAAGGAGGAATATAGCTATGACCACCACCATCACAAGAGAAGGCTACAAATGAAATTAAACTGATTTATTTAATCTCAGAAACTGAATAGGAAATAAGAAGTCGACTGCTTTTAAAAACATATCCCAGAATGGGTACTGATGATATAATTTTTGTGGGCCACTTTATTATGCTTTTTATTCATGCATGAATTCAATATTTTATTATAAGCACTAAAGTGATATATTTAATTATGGAGTTAAATTTTTTTTTTTAATTGCCAAATGACTTACAAGTAGAACATTTGTTTGTACTTGATTAAACTGTTTTGGTCGTTATGTATCATTTCACTCCCTGCTTTTGAATAAAGATACTCATTTACATTTACTGTTAGTACACTTCAAGAAATGTAGTTAAAAACTGATGACTAACCAAGATACTGTGTACCAGGAATGTGGAAATATTTACTTTCTGTGGAATGCAAATTAGTTGGATATGCAGATTTTGCATTACATAGATCAGAGTTTTCAAATAAAATCTCAGGCAGTGTGTTTGAAAGGGCAAGCATTAATAATTTGTTGCTCATTCACACAATTGTTTTGAAGCCCCCCCTCATTTTCCTGCACCTCAGATGAATGATTCACTCATATAAGATTGCCAGTCTTATTTAAAAGGCCATTCCATTGAGTATCTTAGACTTAATTTTTATGAAAGTTTTTAAAAAATAATTTCCTATTTACATTGTTCAGATCCATTTCACTTGAGTATTTTGTCGTTTAGAGTAATAACTCATCAATCCGTTAATGCAACCTTTCTTAATGTTACTTTTCTTAGTCCTATGAAATGTGCTGCTATTTTGAACCTCTGAAATGTTATAAACCACCAGATTGCTAATTGCTTTGGATGCTGTGAAAAATAATTACTCCACATTACTTTTTATATTTAATTGACAGTGTAATGCATTTAACTAAAGATCTGCAATGAACTATTTCTAATTACTGAGGGTGGTGGAGTGGAAAAACTAGGCTGTAAAACTTTACAAGGAAACAATGTTTTCTTCATTACGTTAAAAGTTATTGTTGATATAACTTTTTCAGAGACAAACAAAAAATTTCCTTAAATGGGAAGTTCTGGAAAGCTAGAAAGAGTTGTGGAATATTTTTATTCATGATATAGTAAAGAGATTTTTAAAATTATTATTTTAATAGATTGGTGATGCATGTCATATACTAATTTTACCATGCTTGCACTAAAATTTCTCCTTCTTTATAGTTGGCAGAATTTTATGAGAGAGATAATCATGCCACTGCCAGAATGAGTAATGTTCATCACTGGCCTGTGTTCAATTCATTCTGCATCTGTAGGACATTCAGCTGAAAAGCAATGCCAAATTTTAGATACTGAAATATGTAGATATATCAGGAACTGAGTCTGTTCTTAGCTCTCAAGGTAAGAACTTCTTGTTAGAAACTGATCTTTGAAAATAACTTAGAACCTGATGCAAGGAATTCCCACCATCTAAAAGTGTCACGAATTGAGGTGTAAAACGTTAGGCTCTTTGAGTAGACGTGTACTGTTTTCATTGCCTGTGGTTCTGAGGTTATTAATGATCAGCGTATTCTTTTCCTCCCTATAACACCTGGCTAAAATAAAAGTGCCTCCACTGGTATTACATTAAGTTGCTTATTTCATTTCAATGATGTACATTTTCCAAAAACAGACATCTAAAACAAGTGACCTGTTTCAGGGAATGTAAATTATTTTCAGAATTTCAGAAATTGAAAAGGGATAAGAGGAAGGAGAAAATGCTGGGCTGGTGTGAAGCGATAGCGCGTAACCCTCGCAGGATCCCTAACAACACGCGGACCCCCGAGGGCTCAGAGGAATGGGCTGATGCTTCGCAAACCTCCACACTGGTGAGTGCAGCCGTGGTACCTCCAATGGCTTGTGTGAATGGATGCGGAAGGAATGGGGAGGGGGCCGGGGAGGGCTTCCTCATAGTTCTCTGCTTTGCAATGTATTATATTGCTCATATAGACGTCGCTTAATCAACGGGTAGTAATAAAAACATCTTAATTTCATAGAATCTAGAGTTTAATTCAGATTAACAATTTTTTTTTTTCTTTCTGTTTCTTTGGACATCACCCGTCCATTATGTCAGGGACCTTACAGAGACATTTAAAGTTTATATCTTGCATTCTACACTTCGGTAATGGAATCATTAGAGGAAAACAAGTACTGTTATCCAAAAATAATGAAAAATCAGCCTCCTACCTTCTGTATTTTCCTATATTGAATCCTTTTTAAAGGCATTTTTTAGAATATATAGGATTCAAAAATTATAATTTTGATATAAAATCGTGAATTGCTAAAATGATTTGAAGACCAAATCAATAATATACTCTTTCTTGTTTTGTTTTCTGCTTTAAGTTTACATGTTTGGCTTTAGCTAGCTTTTATTTCCCAGTGATTAGGAAAAGAGAACTCATTAGCAAAAGGAGTTTTATAAGTTCTTTGTTTAGATTTTGGCTGCAACATACTTCATTTTGATTTAAGGAAGGAAAATTCCATTCAATCTCTAAGTTTTAAATTGACATGTTAGTTGTATTTTAATTGCTATTTTACCATTTTATAAGAACACGTACTTTCATTAGCCTGATTTATTAGTCGATGAACATATAATTAAATATAAGCAAAAGTTTTAGGTTTATTTTTTTACTTTTGAGTTACTTGATAATTTCTATCATTTTACATAAAAACAATGGTCCTGAGCAAGCATTATTGAGTGAATTTCAAGAGAAACCATCGAAAGGAATAGGCTTTCAATTGACAAAACATAGAAATGGGAATTCTGTTTAATTCCATCATCTTAGACTGTAGGGAGAGGGCTGAGGGTATGAAGAAAGTATGCAAGGTGATTGGACAAAGTTCTAGGGAATAGATTCTTTGAAATTATTATCTGCAGTGTTTCATCTCACTCATATGCTCTTTTGTAAATTACTGGTTTCAATAAAACTGCTTGGCATGAGTTAACACCATTTAAATACACACGTTGCACAATATTTATACATAAAGCTGGATTTTGTAGGTACCATGCAATAGCTAAAATTTTTTAAATAAAAATATTACTTCTGTGATCTCATTAGAGTGGCTTTAGTGCTTAATTCCTATTTCATAGAACCATAGATCAAAACCACTAAAAAAAATCTTGAGCAAACATTTGGCCTGACTTTCTTTTATAATTTTGGGTAACCTAATATTAGCTTCATTTTACAAATGTGTAGTGGCCCAGAGAAATTAAGTGACTTTCCCAGTGTCACTTAGCTAGTAAATGTCACTTCTAGGATTACTAGAAGCCTGGCTTCTGAAGGTAAGGCATGCTGTATTAGGGCAATAGTCTTCAGTCACTGTAACCTAACCGCCAAGTCTCAGAAAAATAAAATATTTCTTATGTTATAGCTCATGTGTCTAGGGCAGCTCTCCTTGGAGGTTCACTGTCAAAGGTTCACTGATTATTCAAAGACTCCATCCACCTTTTTATGCTGCCTTCTTAAGCACATGGCCTCTTAGGTCCCTGAGGAAAGGAAAAGGCTATGCTGCCCATTGTGCATGAGCTCTGATGGAGCAACCTGAAGTGTGTAGACATCCTTCCATTTGCCAAAACCTAGTCTCATAGCCCCATGTGAACTGCAAGGGAGGCCGGTGAATATCAGGAAGCCACGTGGGCAGGAAAAGCAGATAAGGACATCTCTGCCAAAGTCCACTCTTCTGGTCGCCAAACATTCATGTCATGTTTCCACTCTTTCATTAAGAAGAGTTATTATTTTCCAAGAGAGATAACTAAACATTCTTTCAGTCACTGGATTCAGTTCAAATTCATGGTCTCTGGTTATTCATTGTCCTCATCTAATGATGATGATGGTGAATCACCTATAAATAAACGATTTATATTTTGCAACCAGCTCCCAACATACATATATACCCAGTATGAAGGAGAGGAGTAGGAAAAGGGAAACCACAATAAACACTCACATTTGGAAAGAGAAAGAACTAAATGTACATGGAAGTCAGTGGTGTATTCCTGCTGGACAGACATTGTCAAGTCTCCCTGACCTCTAGGTCAGGGGGGATCCTTGAATTAGCTTTGACCCTGCTCCCTGGGAGATCTCCCTTGTCCGGTGCTTTCCTCTAGCCTCTGGATATGCCCTCTGGGAAGTTCTTCCTTTCCTATTATTCTCCTTGTCCACATTCAAAGTGCCTAATGAAACTTGTATAGCCTTAAAATATTTTATTTTCCTGTTTGGGGAAAATTATGGAACCAGGAGTTGTTTTAAGTCTTAGGAATTTCAAGGCTCATACTGATGGAATCACAGTATTTCAGTACGACGATCCTCTGCAATCTGCTAGGGCTCTGATCTCTTTGCTTTCTGGTAGTCTGTATGCCTAGCAGAGTTCTATCTTGGTTGCCTTTGATTTCCAGTTCTCCATGTCTCTATCTCAGGATGATCGTATCTTGAAGAACAGGCAGGAGGACCACATCCTTAACCTCTTTGTCCAGAGATGCTTTGTTCAACTGAGAGGGTCCACTCGGTGTCAGCTCTGAAAATCATATTAGCCTTGAGTCACTTTATTCAAATGTAACTTTTCATTGGAACTTTGTTACTCAACACTCACCTCAATGGCAGGTCTACCGGTTGGGGTTTAGAAGAAGTCAGGCATTGGGTCCAACAAACCTTGAAACTTTCAGATTCTCTCTATTCCTGGTCAGATCTGCTTTCTGCTTTCATACAAACCGCTTAGTTCCTGAGCTCACATTTCTCCTGTAACACCTTGCTGAATGTAGCTGATAGTATTTAACATACATTATTGAGTTCTGTTTTTCAATCTATTTTGAGTGTTGCCGGCCCAGCAGGCCCAGGGTCTGCCTCTTGAGTTAATTCAAATAGAGATTTTGCCAATAGTTTTGCCCAAACATCATGCAGATAAATAGCTTTCTACCTTTGTAATCAGTTTCCTCCCTCCCCGTTGCTTAAACATTAAACAAATGCCACATATTTTAGACTTTTCTTATGGTAGCACAGACTTTGGCTAACTGATTTCTGTATTCGGATAGTTATAAAAGTTGGGGTACAGTCAAGAAAACAGAAACAGCCAATTTTAACAGAATATATAACATGAAAAATTATTTAATCTGCTATTGGAAGATTGAAAATGTCAGAAAGGTACACAAGTTTGGTAACTGCAAGAAGTAGCAACCACCCATACAGAGGAATCACACACGGAGGAGACTAGAGCTACCCAAACCTAAAAGGTTGACGGAGGGACCCCTCGGAACTGCACCCCAACTCTGAGGAGGGATGCTTCTCAGCTGATGCAGGAACCTTGGAGCTCAGAGGAAGGACCCTGAAGATCTAGGACCCAGACCCCTGAAGGGGATGCACTTCTCAACCCTTATATATTCAAGTCGGGGGAAGGGGCTGGTGCAATAAAGGTAGTTCAGGGAGTGTGAAAAAAGCTTAGAAACTGGACCCATCTTCCACTGCCGACTTGAGTCTTGTGGGATAACGCTAACAGAAACAGAGTCCTCTCTCTCCTCTTGTCTAATGGTTTCTTTTAGCACTAGCATTGGCAGAACCTGACCAAGAAGTAAATTTCAAAGGAGACATCTGGTTTGAAGGCTCCCAGCTCCAGCACCTCAGTGTAGAATACAGGAGAATGGATTTAGGGCTGAGTGATATTAGCTTAGTAATCAGTATGGAAAATTAAGAATAGAAGCTTTAACGAACTCAGAAATTTCATAGGCTTAACATAGTAAAGGTTTGTTTTCACTCATGGCTCAGTCTGATACAGGACATTTGATCCTCAGACAGTGAATGCAGAGATCTCTGCTCCTCCCATCTCCCAGGGCTGCTGTCTTAAACACAGGCCTCCTGGTATTGAGTTTATCAGTTAAGGGGTGCAGTATGAATGGGTGACTATGTAGATAGCAGTTTAGGTTTGGAAGTGCTAAGCATCACTACCCTGATGCCGTTGGCTGGAATCAATGACACATCCCAGTGTATCTGTCAGAATGATGGGAAATAAGGTCTTCCTATATGACCAGAATAGGGAAATTGAGAGCATTTGGCCAGCCTCTACCACAAATGCGTTCATTCTTTGAGTGGTAGCAGTTTTGTCCTGCCTTTCCATTTTATATCCCCAGGATTTAACTATCACTCTCTGCTGTCACCCGGAGCATTTGAGGCTTTTCTGTACAAATCATACCCCATCTAATGATGATAAGGGGAGGGGTAGAAAAAGGAGGATGAGGAAGATATGGATGATGGTTGTTTGCCAGGAGCGTTTCTAAGCATTTCACACACATTCCCGTTTGTAATGCTACAAGGATCCGATGAGGTGGGCATGATCATTATCCCTATGTTGTGGATAAAGAAACTGAGCTACAGAGAAATGTAAAACCTGCTGAAAGTGACTTAGGTAATAACTGGTGAAGCTGAGATTCCAACAGTCCAAGCAGTCTAAAACCAGAGGGCTGCTCTCCTGTCTTTCAGGTTGGGGGAAAAAGTCATTATTTGAGTTGTACACATTTGGTTAAACACAAAGATTATAAGGGAGATAATAATACATTACAGTGTGTGACATAAAAACAAATAGGGCCTTTTCTTTATAATCTCTTGATTACATGTGTCTGTTAGATAACTCTCTGCTCTGCATTGACTGACATATAAATATGACCAGTATCACCACTGCATGCATCCTCAATAACTGCCCTAATTGAAAAAAAAATAGCACTTTTAAAAAATCTATAATGCAGTTCAAATTATCTGCTTTTTAAATTCAGAAAGTGCTTACTTAGCCTAAAATCCCTTGAGTAAGAACATTGAAGGGTTTGAGAGATACTTATTAAGCAACCATC